ATGTTGGGGTTTGCTAATCCAAGTGAGTATATATACATTTTAATACCTCAGGAACGACTGCGAAAAATGCAGCACAAGGTCCTCTGGTTAGAATTGAACCTACGGCCCTTATAGAGCGCTGCACCGGAATCGCAGGGCCGTAGGTTCAATTCCTACCAGAGGACCTTGTGTCGCATTTTTCGCAGTCGTTCCTGGTTAGGTCTTAAAATGTATATTGATACTCACTTGGATTACAAACCTTAACATTGTAATATTAATTCCACCAAGTGAAGTGCAAAAATCCAAATCATTGAAGTCCACCTTATTACAACCCGCACACCCGATTACCTATATATACATGAACGTACGGTTACAGCTCAACAGCTGGCCTCTGTAGCTCAGTTGGTTAGAGTGCTGCACCGGAATCGCAGGGCCGTAGGTTCAATTCCTACCAGAGGACCTTGTGCTGCATATTTCGCAGTCGTTCCTGGTTAGGTCTTAGAATTGTATATATATTCACTTGGATTACAAACCCTAACATTCTAATATTAATTCCACGAAGTGAGGTGCAAGAATCCAAATCATTGAAGTCCAATAATAGTATAACCGTTTTTGACATTGCAAATACAACAACATAATTATGTAAATCAACATGATTCTGTATCACATATACAAACTCCCTCACGCCCATAATTCTGTTTTCTGTATTAATTATTGAGTTTTTTAACAAATTATTATATAGTATCGCTACTTCGCAGTGACAGTTTATAAGAGCATATGCCTTACTTGAGAATCGTTAAAAACTGAATTTTACTCCGCCCTCAAAGGCCCTCTAATGCCACAAAGCCAATGATAGATCACATCGCTTTATAAACGGATAAACATAATTATTTTAGACTTTAACCCGCAAAGAAAGATGACGACAGACGAGATAAATGCAGTTATCACCTTGAAGTATGAAACCTGTATCTTTTCAGTCCAGACACGCAAACGCTTATAAGCATGTTTATTTATGTGGATACATACCATTCATCCGTCCGCATCTTACATTCTTATCCGTCCGTCTGCATTTACCCTCCCATTCGCCCGCCCGCATTGTACCCTCCCATCCGTCCGTCCGTCTGCCGTCTATACGTCTGCATCCGCGTTTTACCCTAGTCCCTTGGAGGAAGTACATTTACTTCCATAAATAGATGTTTATAAGGAATTGGTTATTGAATAAATATACTTTTGTAATTTACTGTTGACACATGCAAGTTCTGTACAATATGAAATCATTTTAAATTAAGGTAACCCACGTTCAACAACATATATGATCTAACCATGCATGTTAACTCAGCAGCGAGCACATGCTTTAATTAATGATGTTTAATTTATCAGTGAGTTATGCATAACATTAGCCTCCTCATGAATAAACGCCTTTCGGACCCCTTTTTAAAGTAGCCCACATTCAAAAACATCTTACACCTCTTCATGATCTAAACATACTTCAAAATCGATATCCCCATCATCAAATGAATCTGATAAATCGTACCCGGTTGTCACAATAGCACGGCATACTTCTAAACCCGTGTCGAGTCCGGGTCCGGGTTTTTCTCGAGCCCGGATTTTCTTAGAGTCCGAGTCCGAGTCCGGTCCGGGTTTCGAAGTATGCCCAAACTGAGCGAAGGTAACATGCAAGCACGCAAACATCTTTAACCTTGGCATTTGCCAAAAACGCCCCACCTGTTTATCTGATCTTTCCACAACTCTTCATCCATGTAATTATATTAAATATGGCACTCCTATGATAAATATTTGGCACTTTTTATAAATCTTTTGCACTTGAGCCAGAAATATAGAACTTAAAATAATTTTGATCTCTCTTATCGAAAACGACCAAGTGCACGTTTCTACCTTAATTAACTGGTAAATAATACAAAATAAAATCATCGACTGACTTCTTAGATTTGTACGAATTAATTTTAACTGACAAGTCAAGTCTCTTCACTCGTCCGACAATTGGCTGACAATTGGTAAAAGAGCAATTGGAACTTGCTTGTTAGAAAACATCTTAATAAACAGCTTAAAAACGATTAATCATTGATATGGAACTCACATCTTACAGAATATCATAACTGACTGCATACAAACGATAAAACAATAATTTGGAACAGATATCTAAGTCATATCTTACAAAATATTGTAACTGATACCTGATAGACATAGCGTTGCCCCCTTACAATTTTGACAACTTGCATGCACAGACCGCAACGTCATGAATAAGATCTTCTTTATCTTGAATGAATATCTCTACACTGTTGTCATCGACTATTTTGTAATTGATTTCCCAATTTGCTTGTTGAAGTATAGTCTGCTGACAGCCCGAAATTTCGTTCAAAGGACATCGGAAATTTAGAAACCCTAATTTTCCGTTTCAAGTTTTCGTGTGGGGGCTGCGAGCTACCTATTGTTGAAGTTGACTTCAATAAGAATTTAATTAGCGAAGAATGACTGCTTTTTAAACCCAAATGTTTGATGGGAAATTGGGTAATGGTTTCATGAAATTTGATCGCCCTGACTATACGACACTTGTTTTGCTGGAAGTAACTGACCTTGTCATGCATATAATGCTCAATTAATCGCCAATTACTTACTATAAGTGCTTACTAAGCAATCATCCTCCGATACCGGAATAATGGAATCCAATTCAGGAATTTCGAGCTAAAAATTACAGTCGAAGTTTCCAGGTTTCTGGTGTTTCGCCAGGAGAGAAATATTTGGAGAATTTGGTCAACCTAGCTGTTTTATTTGTTTAATTGTTTTACCCAACTGTGCTGCGCAATTAATGACGCATTTAATGCAGACATGATTTGTTCATGACCTTTAATAGCATAATCATGCATTAATCTGCGTAACATGAAACGGTTAATTCCTAAAGCTTAGTTTCCATTTTGGCATGGTGGCAAAATAGAGTCACGATCTTCCTCGACGGCCAGTTTATAATAGTGTTGATACCTGTGAACCACATAAAAGTAAAAGCCATCCCTTATTTATTCAGTCTGAAATCCTAAACTAAAATACTGTAACTGGTTTTATTGGATATAGCTCTATCAGTTCTAAACTGTTTATATTCCTAGGGCTGCAGTTTAAGGTAATCGTTTTGGTCTGGTGTTACGTACACGAGGCACGAGCGAGGCGTCAAACACGACTGCATACTGGGAGCGTTCCGGAAGGGTGTATTTCACTACAGTTTCAAGGCCGGTTTTCTTAATTCGGCTATAATATGCTTCAACAAGTGATGACCTTTACTGGACCTCTATAAGAAGAGCAGAACTGTAATCCCCTAGCCGACGGCGCGAAGCGCCGTGCGAGGGTACTAATTCCCCCCGGCTATTTACACCCGGCTATTTACCCCCCGGCTATTTACCCCCCGGCTATTTACACCCGGGTCTAAAGTTCATCAAATATCGCGGGCGTGGGTCACCAACCGTGGGTGGTCATCCTCACTGATCTCAAAAATATGGCGGACTGTCATGAATAGCAAACACTGTGATTGGTCCAATTTAATTTCTCCCTCCAACTTCTTAATCCAATCCAATGGTTTCAGTTTGCCAATGATGCTGCGGTTATTACTGGTCAAGAGTCGGAAAGTCAACATCTCCTTAATCGATTCTCTATCTGGTGTCAATGGCCCAACATGGTTTTTATAGTTGATAAATGTAGCACATTTGGCATCAAAAACGTTTTATCAAAATCTGCCCAGTACCTGCCGAAGCTTTTGATCAATAAGGATCTCATATCAACGATTAAGACTGGAGAATCATTTGAGTATCTGGGACGACACTTCGACTTTAACATGACTAATTGAAAACATAAATCTAAAGTGATTTCCCTCATTGATGAACTAATGTCCGAAATAGATCTTAAACCTCTTCACCCAAAAAACAAAATTTTACTTTACAGTCGTTATGTTTTGTCGAAGCTATCCTGGCATTTTACTGTTGCTACGATATCTAAAACTTGGGTAGTCGAAAATATCGATTCTTCGGTGAACAAGTACATCCGAAAATGGCTGGAAGTACCTATATCTGGAACACTAAGTAACGTTTTTCTAACCCGTAATAAGTTTGGTCTAAATATCCTCCCTGCATCAGTCAAATTCATTCAGTGTCAAACAGTTCTACGCAAATGCCCTAAAAACATCTCCAAACGATTCAATAAACGAACTGTGGAAGTCAACTAATAATCATACTAACATTCAATACGATAGCTACAACTCAACTAAAGAAGTTTTAAAAACTTTCCATTCTCAGCAAGAAAATAAACTTAGGAACCGTTTGAAAGTCAAGGTTCCTTTTTCGAAAATATTTCTAAATTCTCCCTATCACAACTTAACGCAATCTGATCGGTATCGCAATCAAAGCTACCAAAGAACATTTTCAACTTTACAATTCGCTATATAAATAATACCCTTCCTACCCGAAAAAATCCTCAGTAGATGGGGGAATTTCATCAAGTTCTGACCGCTCGTTCTGCTTACACCCTGAATCACTTCTACACGTTGTTGCCGGTTGTCAACAATACATTACTTGGAACGATTTAGTTGGAGACACGATTGCATACTAAAGTTTCTTGCAAAAAGCTTTCAAAGTTTGAACGAATGCAAATTACTTGTTGATCTTCCTGGATTTGAAACCCCCTCGATTATTACGGGAGATGAATATCGTCCTGATTTACTTGTCTCCACTTCAGACAAACACCTCTACGTTGTTGAACTTACCGTAGACTTTGAATCAAACCTCACAAACAATGTTAACCGCAAGAAAGCTAAATATAAAAACCTAATTAGAGAACTGGATCAAAACTTTACATCTGTTAAATTTATAAATCTTTCTGTCAGTTCGCTAGGGGTGTTTGACAAAGAATGTCATACATTCGTAAAAATGCTAAATAAGTTAGGACTGGATAATAAACACCAACAATATTGTATCAGGAAAATTATATCTATTGCCATCCGATCAACGTACTACATATTTTGCTGTAGAAATAAAGAATGGACAAATCCCGAACTAATGAACATTTAAATAATTAGCAATTTTTGTATATAAAATTAAAACCATGCATGTATAAGTGATTCAAGTAGTCAATTGTAGGTTACCTCAAGAAGTGAGATTTACAATTGTATATATCTATATAAATGTTCTATTAATAAAGTTTTCAACATTCTTCTTCTTCTTCTCTCCTTCTTCTCCTTCTTCTTCTTCTTCTTCTTCTTCTTCTTCTTCTTCTTCTTCTTATTTATTGTTGTAAAAACAAGATTAATGATCGTAATTCAAATGTTTATTCTACCATTCTGCATCACATGGAATAAATGCGAAGCCCGTCATCACTCCACCAACTACAGCCGCTGTTAAAAAGTCGGGAACAAAGTGTTGTTGCGGAAAGGTTTGTAAAGGAGCTCGAGGTTTAAAAATGCATCAACGTAGTTGTCGGGTCATCATGGGACTAAATAAAGAGCTATTAGAAAATGTTTTTGAACAGGATGAAAGCAACAACAACTGTGCTGGAGACCTAGATGATATTGACATCACCTCAGTCTACAATACCAATCAGGAGGAAGAATATCCTGAGTTAAAAAAGGGTATAAATCTTCCTAAAACCAATTCAGAATGGTTAACGACTAACGAACATTTCAAGTTTTCACTAATGTCTGATCCACCAATCACAAGTGACGATTTAAATACATTAATTAAACTACTAAATGACACCATTTACACCTACTTTGCTGGAAACTTCGGGTTTTTGGAACGTCTGCCGGATAAATTACTCAATGATAAATACAAGAATCACAGCGTAAAGGACTTGAAGAAAGCATTGAAACTACTTAAATTATCCAACTCTGATCTGGCCGAAATTAAATATGCCTCTCGTCTCGTACGAAATAAGCTCAAATCTAACACAAGTAATGATAATATGATAATATGAGTCGTTTAACCGCGATGAATATATTGAACGTAATTTCTGGGGATATGTCAAGAAAGTCATAAACTGCAGCGTATCGATTCTCCCTGCCTTCCATATGGACGACTGTTTAAAGTACTTTAGGACAGTCTTGACTCCGGTCAATCCAAACAAAATATTTCAAATTCCAAGTTGGATTCCAATGCTACACGATCCCATTATTGAAATTGCATGACCTTGAACCTCCAACTTACCGACAAATAACAAATATTATTCGTAAAATGAAAACATCTGGCTCGCCTTGTCCTCTAGATCAAATCTCCATTATAAGTTTTAAGCGTTGCCCATACCTCCGAACATATTTAACCGAACTAATTCAAGCAGTCTGGCTTTCTGGTTCAAGCTTGTACTATATTAATCCACAAGAAAAATGATGCCAATCTCCCGGAGAACTTCCGTCAAATTTAACTCTTCAATCCGTACCACTGAAAGTATTCACTTCAAGTCTCCGTAATGCAATGTTCTCTTACCTACTCGCCAATAACTTTATCGAGCACGAAATTTAAAAGGGCTTCACCCCTCATATATCGGGGACATTAGAACATACAACACAAATGGCTTATATAATCAATCAAGCACGAATAAGACAGCGATCTCTCGTCAGTATAACCCTTCTTTATCTCAAGAATGCGTTTGGTGAAGTACATCACAATTTAATCCAATCTGTTCTTGGCTATCATCACATACCTCAACATATTCAACTCATGATTAAAAGCCTTTACACAAACTTTAAAACCTCAATCATCACATCTGATTTTAACACCCCATTTGTAGAAGTAGGTCGTGGAATTTTGCAGGGGGATTGCCCCAGTCCATTACTATTTAACCTATGCTTTAATACTTTTATCCATCACATAAAATCGGAGAAATATCAACAATTTGGTTTTTCTTATAAACTTCTCAACCCAATTCATTGGTTCCAGTTTGCTGACGACGCAGCCGTAATAACCGGCCAAGAATCTGAAAATCAACACCTACTAAATCGTTTTGCAATTTGGTGTCAATGGTCAGACATGATTATTCGAGTAGATAAATGATGCACCTTTGGCATCAAAAAAGCTCTCACGAAATCAGTCCAGTACCTCCCTAAATTAATCATGAACAAGTCTATTAATCCCTCTATTGAAAGTGGAAAATCATTCTGCCATTTAGGAAGGTACTTTAATTACGAAATGACAAATAATGAACATAAATCGGAATTAATCACTATTGACAGACCTAATGAAGGAAATAGATTTAAAGCCATTACATTTGAAAAACAAGATTCTCTTCTACAGTTGCTACGTTCTTTCAAAACTCTCATGGCATTTGACTATAGCATCAATTCAAAAAACGTGGATTTCCGAAAACCTGGACTCAGTTTTCGAACAATACATTCGTAAATGGCTTGAGGTACCTATTTCTGGATCACTTAGTAACATTTACCTAACCAGTAACAAATTTGGTCTGAACATTATCCCCCCATCAACTAATTTCACAAACCAGTAACAAATTTGGTCTGAACATTATCCCCCCATCAACTAATTTCACACAATGTCAAACAACCATCCGCAGTGCTTTGAAGTCATGTCCTAATGAATCAATAACCCACCTCTGGAAGTCGACCTGTAATCATACTAACACCCAATATGATCAGTATACGTCGACGAAAGAAGTAATCAAGTCATTCCGTGAAATTCATGTAGATAAATTGGAAAATCGGTTAAAATGTCAAGGTTCATTCTTCTCGAGCATCTCAAAATTTTCACTACCCCAAGTAAATTCGATTTGGCCAACCTGTCAATCCAAACTACCAAAAAACATTTTCAACTTCACTATTCGCTACATAAACAATTCGCTACCAACCCGTAAAAACCTTCAAAAATGGGGACTCTCTTCGTCGTCTGAGTGCTCGTTTTGCCTTAAACCTGAATCTCTGTTACACGTTGTTGCTGGCTGTAGTTCCTATCTTGATCGATTTACTTCAGTGGAGACACGACTCAATCCTAAATTTTATTGCTAATAACCTCCCATCAGAACATACTCAGACCATTTATCCTGACTTACCATCATTCCCTAATCCCTCCTCCGGAAGACCCGAAATATTAACAACATGATCTCAATTCCCCTTGTTACTAATAAGAATCCCCAAAAATCCTATGATATCCCGACTATATTGTCCACTAATGTTAGATCATTACCAAAGATAATTGACGAGCTCCAGCAAATTGCAGAGCTAAACTCTGCAAGTGTTATTTGCATTATTGAATCGTTGCTATCACCTGACATTCCTGATCATTGCGTATCTATCCCTGGATTCAACTTATTTCGTAGGGATCGCATAGGATCTTCTGGTGGAGGGGTCTGTGTATATTTGGATCATAAAATACCTTGTAACTGTTTGGATTCATGTGACCAATCTGATGTAGAATCAATTTGGATTTCATTAAGACCACATACACTCCCAAGAGAAATTACATCCATTATTCTAGGAGTAATATATCATTCAACATCCAATAAAGAACCTGAGAATGTTGTCCTTAGAGACCATGTGCAGAATAACCTTGACTCATTACTCTTTAAGGAACCTAACGCTCTTGTTTTACTTACAGGTGACTTTAATCCCACGTCTACAGGTTTTAAAATGAAATATATCACACAGGTGAACCATCTTAAACAACTTATATCTTTTAAAGCCAGAGATTCTGCCGTATTGGATTGGCTGTTAACAAATAGACCTAAGATGTTTGAAGTATCTAGATTGCCAAAGGTTGGTTCGGCTGACCACTATACGATCTTAGCAAAACCAAATATAGCAATATCATCTAAACAGACTATTACCAAAATTAGAATCCGAGACATGCGGAACTCTGCGTGGTGTGCCTTTGGACGATGGATAACCAAAAAAAAACTGGTCATCGGTATTAAGTGCGAGTACGAGCAAAGATAAATTTGACCTCTTTATGTCAGAGCTTGACCAAGCAGTTAATACCTTTCTCCCACAGAAAATGATTAAAAAGCATCCGACAGATCGACCGTGGATTACTAATACGATAAAACTGTGGATTTCTAGACGCCAATGTGTATTCCAACAACAAGGAAAAAATTCTAAAGGCTATAGTTTTTTGAGGAATAAGGTTCACCGTGCGATCCAGTCAGCAAAATCCAATTACTTTCATAGTAAGGTAGCAGATGTTGATAGAGTTAACCCTGTAAAGTGGTGGAAAGAGATTAAAAAACTATCAGGTCAAAATATCCGACAGGAATGGTATCATCAGTTCCTTAATAACAACGCGGATATAGAATCCCTAGCTAATAAAGTGAACGACTTCTTTGTTAGTCTTACAGATCACTTCGCCCCTCTGAGCCAACCAATTCCACCTATGCAAATCCCGGAAGAATTCTTGGTTACGGAAAGTGTGGTGTTTAAAGCATTAGCATCACTGCAAATTTGTAAGGCGATTGGCCCTGATAATATCCCGAATAGAATCCTGAAAGAGTTTGCTCCTGAACTGGCTCCAGTCATTCGTAATATTTACAACCAGTCAATAAAAGAAGCGAATATCCCATCACCACTTAAGTCATCTATCGTAATTCCAGTTACGAAGATATCACCTCCTCAAACAATTGAAAATGATCTCCGCCCAATCTCGCTTACTTCTTCAATGGCAAAAGTTATGGAAGGCATTACTTGCACTAGACTATTGAAGGACTTGAAAGGAAAAATCGACCCTCGCCAATATGCCCGCAAAGGGCACTCAACAACAGATGCCCTTCTCTACATGATGCAAACAATTCATGAGGCATTGGACGGGGGCGAAGCTGGTGCTCGTATCTTCTTCGCAGACTTCTCAAAAGGTTTTGACCTAATTGACCACTCTATTTTAATACAAGAACTGTATAAGCTCCAGGTTCACCCTGCCTTGCTGTCCTGGATCTCAGCCTGTTTATTCAATCGTAGGCAGGCGGTTAGAATTGGTAGTGTCCTTTCTCAATGGCAAACTCTGAAGGGAGGAATACCCCAAGGGACTAAACTCGGAGTGGTACTTTTTATGGTCATGACAAATAGCTTACTGGCTAATTGGCATCTCCGTACAAAATTCGTGGATCGGATACTTCAGCCTTCGAGATTATTCCTAGGAACTCTATCAGCCTCCTTAATTTTGCAGTCTCTGATATACATGAATTTGCTAATGAACATAACATGAAGCTCAATCCTAAGAAGTGTAAGGAAATGCTTATAAACTTCCTACATAACCCCAATTTCTTACTCCGACCAATCCAAATTGGTAACAATATTATTGAGCGTGTGACAACGTATAAATCTTTGGGTGTCATTTTCAGTAGCGACCTAAAATGGAATCCCCATATCGAATACATTGTTAAGAAGGTTAACAAAAAACTATACCCTTTAAGAGTCCTGCGAAGAGTTGGGGTTGATCAAAAGAATTTACTGAAAGTGTACCTGTGCACAGTAAGACCGTTACATGAGTACGCCGTCCCTATTTGGCAAAACATTCCGGATTATCTATCGAAGGAAATTGAGTCGGTCCAAAAACGAGCACTAAAGATAATTTTCTCGGAGAGCGAGTCATATGCGGAGGCCCTGAATTTTGCAAAACTACCAACTTTAACCACAAGAAGAGTGCAAATATGTCAGAAATACATGGTCAGAATGAGGCGAGAAAACCATCCCTTATTGCCAATCCCTGTTGTTCCTGACCATGACATTCATTTGAGACAGAACACTGATCGATTTTATCTATTTAATAATGTTACTGATTGCAGAACAATTAAAGCTCAATCCTTTTTTACATTTAAATACTCTTAATATGTTGTTCCTGACCATGACATTAATTTGAGACAGAACACTGATCGATTTTATCTATTTAATAATGTTACTGATTGCAGAACAATTAAAGCTCAATCCTTTTTTACATTTAAATACTCTTAATATGTTAAGATTTTTTTTTTAATATATATGAAAATTGTAAATAATTATGCGGGCACTATTTACTATTTTGGCAAATGCCTAATGATTTTAACTCTTGTAAAGAGCCTAGATTCTAAAGCATATCCATGTACTATTTTATAGTATATTTTTATCTATTGTAAAGTACTCGTTAATTCAGTTGTTTCTGTAACTGCAAGAGAGTCCTAATAAACTATTACTATTACTATTATTACTATTATTACTGGCGATGACTTTCGTCCTGATCTACTACTATTTTGACCATAAACAATTGTCTATATGTACTCGAACTAACCGTTGTATATGAGACTAACCTAAGGAATAATATACAGCGCAAATACTCAAAATATAAAGAGATGATCGTAGACGCAAAAGAAAAAATTCCGGCCAGTAAAGTTCATTAACCTTTCAATCAGTGCAATCGGTGTTTTTGTAAAAGAATCGTCAGATTTTATACAAATGTTGGAACATTTTGAACTCAGATAAGGCCTGTGTTAAGTATACCATTAGGAAAATCCTGATTAACATTGCAATAAGAACGACATATTACGTTTTCTGTTGTAGAAACAAGGATTGGTCGAATCCAAATTTGATGAATTTCTAGTTAGTCTGTTACTTTTTGTATCATATAATTATGACCATCGGTTATGTAAATGTGGTAATGTATAGTGTATCAAGTAGCCAATTGTAAATTACCTTTAACAGTGAGATTTTCAATTGTAATGCATAAAAAATTCAATAAAGTTTTCATTATTATTATTATTATTATTATTATTATTATTATTATTATTATTATTATTATTATTATTATTATTATTATTATAAAGATAATAATAATAATAATAATAATAATCAATAATAATAATAATAATAATAATAATAATAATAATAATAATAATAATAATAATAATAACAATAATAATAATAATAATAATAATAATAATAATAATAATAATAATCTGTCTTTCTTTCTAACAAATAACAAATTTGGCCTGAGTATTTATCCTCCATCTGTAAAATTTATCCAGTGTCAAACAGTCCTCCGAAAAGCTTTAAAATCTTCTCCTAATGAATCAACTAACGACCTGTGGAGAGCAACCAGTAACCATACTAATATCCAATATAACGCTTATAACTTTACTAAGGAAGTTCTCAAAGATTTCCGTTCTGGACACGAAAACAAACTCCTAAACCAATTAACCAGTCAAGGATCCTTTTTCTGCAGCGTCACGAAGTTCGCTTTTCCTCAGCTTAGCAAGGTGTGGTCCGTCGCCCAATCAAAGCTCCCGAAAAACATTTACAACTTTACCATTCGTTACATTAACAACTCTCTTCCGACGTGCAAAAACCTAAACAGATGGGCAATATCTTCAAATTCAGACTGTTCTTTTTGTCTTAGCCCTGAAACATTACTACACATAGTAGCTGGATGTCAGTTTTATCTCGACCGACTTACGTGGAGACACAATTCAGTCCTGAACTTTCTTGCTCATCAGTTACAAACTGTTGACGGTTCTACTCTCTACGCTGATCTAAATGGATTCAAAAGCCCTTCAATACTTACTGGTGATACGTATCGCCCAGATTTGTTATTATCGTGCTCAAATGGTTCCTTATATGTGGTTGAACTCACCACTGGTTATGAGACAAACCTCAAAAACAACGTAAAACGGAAGAAGGATAAATATAGAGAATTATTGAGACAGCTAGGTAAAAATTTTAACCAAGTTAAATTTATAAATCTCTCCATCAGCTCTTTAGGTATTTTTGCAGAAGAATGTTATACAGTTTTAGACATGTTAGATAGTATTGGTCTTGACAAAAACCACCAAATGTACTGCGTTAGGAAAATGATGACTATTGCTATTAGAACTACATATTACATTTTCTGTTGCCGAAATAAGGAATGGGAAAATCCGGATTTACTAACAATTTGACTTATCTCCTTGTATATATATATATATATTGCATGCACTTTGTTCTGTTATTTTAGTTTAGTATAATTGTGATTCAAATAGCCAACCGTAAGTTACCTTTATGAGAGAGATTTACGATTGTATATGTATGTAAAGAAAAACATTTAATAAAGTTTCCATTATTATTGTTTTTTATAATAATTATTTTTTAAATTATATAATACACACTCTAGAACATTTTCATCTATATTTTTTATATATATATATATATATATATATATATATATATATATAAACAAACTCATTAATAATTAAGGAGCAAAACACAAAGAAAAATCATAAGATGTTCTCGGTTTAGACAAAGTTTATTTTAAAAATTACTTCGCCAATGAACTCGTTTAAGATGAGTCGTTTTTTAAGCCATTTAATTAAAGCACTTGTAGTCATGTTTTATCACATATAAAACACTCCGCTACGCGTCGTGTTTTATATGTGATAAAACACTCCTACGCGTGCTTTAAATAGTACATATATATATATATATATATATATATATATATATATACATATATATATATATATATATATATATATATATATATATATATATATATATATATATATATATATATATATATATATATATATATATATATAGGTTTGAAAAATCACGTAAAGGCCGCCAAATCGCGTTTTCCACATGGCGAAGTTGTTTGCGTGAAGCGTCTTTGTCGACATCGCTTTTGCTGACGTGATGAGCAATGCTGACAAAGGATAAAGCAGCTGCGCGCGAACAAATTTGCCCGAAGGAGAACAGTTTGTGCTTGGTTCTTTCTTGTACATTGAAGGATTTTCTCAGCAATCTCTGTCCTGGGTTTTCCTCTCTCTCGGGAGTGAAACCACTCTACTTTACTAGCTGCACTCCATGGCGACAACCAAAGCCGCATTAGTCAGCCTTCGACTCAGTGACGTTTCGCGTAATTCAGATCTCAACTGAAGGAATAGGTGATTATTACACCCTAACCTCATTTTGTATGAATTTCGATTGCAGAGTCAAAAACTGATTACAGTGCGAAGTTTGCGAACTGTACGAAAAATCCAGTCAATCTGATACATCGGTGTCACAGTCATCCTTGCAAACCTCAACAAAGATACCGTTTCACGCATATCGACGCTGTCCGACCGGCAACATATCTAGCGTACAAACAGTGCTTGCCTGGCAGTGTAGCGTTAAAAAACAACACGTCTACAAATCAAATTACATTAATAAATAATAAAGTGAAGTTTGTCAACCTTACAAGTGATATTTCATGCAAGGCTAATGATGGGAAGAAAGCTGAACCACAACTATGCCCCCAACACTACAACGCAAAATACACGAAACCATACAATTGCAACGCAAAATATCACTCTAAAAATTGGGAAGCAACGAGGATCAACGCAAGATTGAAACCCGCGTGACAAAGGTAAGAATGCTTGTCATACATGTGCATATTAGAGAATATGCACGAGTATTATATAGAGGAAGCTACCTAGAGAGGGGGTTTGATATAGGGTAGTACGATTTACCCGCTATAGATTAATCGATTAACTTGAATTATCATGTTTCTGTTTAGAGCCAAATTATGAGATTCTAGTTTCCATTGCTTCGGGAAAGCTATCTTCGCTGCGTTTCTGCTGTCGTTGATATTAATTGGTATATTAATTAAAGGCCTTACTATTTGCCGTCGAAAGAAAGCAATTCTTTACGCTTTGCTTGGTTATAATACTATAATGACGCGGATCGTTTTTATCAACGTTGCAGCGAAAGAAGTAGAAATGAGATTACAGTGTAAAACATATTAAGTACACGAAGACCTAGTTCACATGTTTTCATGTCCCAAGCTGAAGGAGTTGAAATAATGGGTTTAGGTGATTGATGTTGCTACTTGTATTTTCTTTGATGCAATAATGTCTATATAGCCATTTGCGGCTCAGTTCCAAATGTCTTGGGACAGATGCCACAAACATCTATAATTTCAACAAACGTTGACACTCCCCCCCCCCCCCTTATTCAACAACGTGTGCTTTTTCATCAGCATTGATGCGTTTTGCTATTTGAATCGAGAACACAACATTGATTTGGGAGGGGAGGAATGCCGAATTGTATGTGACGGACTGTATTTGATCGATTTGCAATCTAAAACTGGATGTGCCCCAACAACTTTTGAAAGTGATTGTAGGCGTCTTCAAATGGCAATTCACACGAAATTTGCTTTCTCTCGTCTTCAGCAATATGCCTTTAATATTTACTGTTATTTCCTGTTCGATTCCTGCAGCCATCACAATTTACGCTAAACTGATTTCAGAAAATACCAAACTTGGTCATTTGTCTGTTTTAGTATTCCAGGTTTTCTAATCCCCATTCTCTGTTCCTCGATTTCTTTCCCCGATTCTTTCTTTTAGAAATCTTATTGTTCTATTTTTTTTTACGGAAACTGCATCTTCTGACCTTAGTTTATCGTGACGACGTATAGGTGAGATAACATGATTAATTTTGTTCCGGTTTTATAAAGTGTTGTAAAATCCCGCGGAGGAGTGTGATGACATGTCTCACATCAACTTCTCGCGTGATGCAATTCAGTCACATACATTAAAGATCATGCGACATTTTTTAAACTGAACGGATTAAAATAAAAGCTCTATTAAGTTTAGAATATTACTTGCATTGTCGTAACATTTTACTACTAAACTTATTCATTTTTAATTAAAGCACATCTAACATCATACAATTAAACTCAGTTTAATATTGTTAGAGTTCTATTTTTATGCAGTACGACGCCTTATAATCATTGTACACTTAACTCCGAGCTTTAATTGTAACTCGACCACTCGTTGAGATGCACATCGTTGATATATCAGTGGTTGTGATATACATCTCAACGAAGACCGTCTGAAATTCAGCCGGCTACGGTTTAATTTCATTAATCTGCAATTGTCTGATAATAATTTCCCCTCAGATCGTACCAAACACCTCAACATTTCTTCTCGTACTCCGGTTCCCTCCTGTAGTACGACATACGACATGGTCTGTGGCGTAATTGTGATAAACGCAGACCTATTATACATGCAGTAGCTAAGGCCAAATAAAACTGAAAAGAACTTGGTTACCGTCACCGCCAGCCTCTCGATTTCTGCCGCCTCTGAATTTTTTTTATGTAAATCTCTTCGTTTTACACCTTAAAACAGTTTAATATTTGAAATTTTTCTCTTTCTCAGACCTTTGCGTTATATACTGATCGATAGGAGCGCGTGTGCTTGGGTATACAAGATTCTTATAGCAAAATGGCGGCCTTCGCAACATCAATACAAAAAATATCACCGATATGGTGGAAAAACCGCCCCATCTCCCCAAAAAATGCTATTAAAAAATTAAAAAACGAGTAAAATTTTTAAAAATTTCACCCTCCCTCCTGTGAAAATTTTTGAGAGTGTGAAGCTAACCAAGTATTTTTTTTTTCTATTTGGCCTAAGTTAGCGACCTTCTTTCCGCCCACGAGCGTCTGTGACGCACGCTTTATAACATCAGATAATAAGGGACGACCTTTACCGAACGTCAAATGACAACAGTTTTGACTTTTGAATTGTGACAGTGATATCCAGTATAAATAAAGTTAGTTTAGCTTACATACTGATAAGGCTATTACTTTATATATTATAGGCCTAACAATCTAATTTGCATGCTGCTAATACAGGGTCTTCCAATTAAACTGTAACGTTAAAAGTCGCATAAAGAATGAATTCAAATGTCTATTATGTAATAACTAAAATATTTCTCGTTCTTCGTTACGGTCAGGGTGTGAACTTACTGTGAAGTTTATTAAAACACAATATATTTCAATACACTTTAAATTCTCACTGTGTATACAGGAAATACATGCAAATTGATTCCACACTAAGGCTATATGTGGCATTTATCATACAGCTGGGATCCCAAAAAACCAAAAACTATTGAATTAACGTGTTGTTAGAATTTGAATGCCCTAGCTAGCACTAAGCTGAACGCAAAGATGCGTAAAGTATTGACAATATGCATATATTTTAAATATTGGCTTATTAAGACATTATCTTTGTAAAAGCGAACGATTTTCTGCTCTTGGGAATTTAAAGCAGCAGCTTCTTAATTAAACAGTTTCTTCATGCACAAAATTTACTTATATCAAGGTTTTATGCACTTGTGGGTTCAGCAGAGTGCTGACACCATTCAAATTCTAACAATACGTTATTTCAATAGTTGTGGGGTTTTTTTGGACACTCTGTATTGTCGCCCCACCTCCTGAACGCATATTATTTGCATATTTACAAGTGATATATAGTTAATTTTCAACCAGGTCCGGTTCATCTAGAAAAACTATCCTATGACTATGCATGTTCTTAGCGGCTTGTCCAGACTTAATTAGATGATTTTACAAAATTGGCAAATTTCAATAGTTTGTAAATTCCAGTCCTGTAATTGTTATCATGCACCCTCGAATTAAATGGAAACCATATTCGTAAAAGAAGGAGTTTCATGGATGTCATAACAAATTCAGGTACCGAATTTGCTCTATATGGTAATATTAGGGTTAGAAAATTAGGATAGTGTTAAAATTGAATTAGATATTTATAGAGAAATTGACTCTATGGTATATAGTATACAGATGTGTGAACAAACACAGTTGTCGTAGTGTGCGTTTGGACTGCCTGAAAAAGGTTAAACCATTGAGCGGATTAAAAACCGGATTGGGCGGGAAATTGGGGAGCAATGCAAATTAATGGGTTCAAATATTTTGAATTTTGAGAGCATGTGGTTGAAACTAGGATACGAAACGAAACCAGAGCGGTTAATTGGCTGTTTAGACCTGAAATATTTGTTATAAAACTATTAGATTTGGTGTTAACTATATACGCCATCGCGCACGTTTCATTTGATTATTTTGATCAAGGCTGTCCAGAAACACGGAATTTAATACTGCACTTTCGAAAGGCGCGGCAATTAGTATCCCTCATGTTGACGCAATAATTTGTGTCTATTAGCATTAACACATATTGACATTTTAACACCGCCGTCAATGGCCGCCAATCGCCACCCTTCCCCTAAAGAGTGTAATGAATACATAATCCAATTTTCCCGAACCTTGCACATCTCTTTTTTCTACTTAGTTGTAGTTCCAAATCACGCACTTTATATGCATCTAATATCCAATATTGTACGTACGTCATATGAGCTTCAGTTTGCGTCTTCTCGTGGGATTTAGTTATCGGGTTAGAGCTCTACATATTTCGTTTCTGGTTATTTATACGGAGTTCCAAGTCACGCGCCCTTGAAGTAAATAAACAAACTTTCCTTGGTAAGGATGCGACTACCTAAAAAATCGTAAGGGGAATTTCGACGTTTCGAGAAAAGGCTCCAGACGAAGGACCTTCTCTTGAAACGTCTAAATTCCGCATATATTTTTCATGTAGTTGAATCCCTACCAAGGAAAACTTGTTTATATCATTGGCACTGCATACACTTGCACAGACAGTTCAATAATAATATAACCGTTTTTAACATTGCAAATACAACATCATAATTAAAGCTTATGTAAATCAACATGATTTTGTATCACATATACAAACTCCTTCACGCCCATATAATTGTGTTTTCTTTATTAATTATTGAGTTTTTGTTGCATGCCATATATGGCATGCAACTTTCATATAGCTCTAAATTTCGTGTCATGAGCGTACCGGTGGTCATAATCACGTGGCAGATTCGAGAAATACGACAACTGCCGAGTTTTTCCGACGAGCGTTTTCAAGAGTTTCGATCGAGGAAAAAAGAAAATATTGATCATTCGCCGAAAATTTACATAATTGAGCGCCTTAGAAAAATAGATCTAGGTAGGGAATGCTTTGCTGTTTTTAACTTACATTATATTATGTTATTTGTTGTGATTTTGAAGCCGTTGTGTGCGCACTGATATTTATTTATCGCGCTTCTTTATATATCGTAAAACTTTAAAGCCACGCTATCAAAATACTCAATTCTTATATGAGGGTCCTGAATGGGGGGTCCCAATCCCATTTCCCACCTGAAATTTTGGCAAAATCCCAGTCCCAGTTGGATTTTTATTAGAAATCCCAGTCGCAGTTATTGAAATCCCAGTCAATAAAAAACCCTTTATTTATCGGTAGAATAAACAGTTTTAAGACCTTTCAAGCAAGTGGCGGACACTTTATGAAATATTAGGGAGGGGCTCGTGCCGAAGGCACGGAAAATTTTTAAATTTGAATCCCGGAAATGGCATTTGCAGCATTCTGAGACGCGCATAATCAGAAAACCCAGAATTCCGGGCGCCAGAGTACGCCTGTTCGCAGGTAGTGCTGTGAATAATATAGTTAACAACAAAAATCATGACCAAAGACACCAAAAACGGATCAAAATTGTATTTTAAAAT